TACAAAATGTCGCTGTATCCCACTATAAGCGCTTTCCCTGTTCTGATTGATTGCTTGATAGATGGGGTCTCATATTCCCGAAACCCCCATAGGAATATGAGAGACGCCGTAGTGAAGGGCTCCGGAAATTTGAACCACCTGGGGTTCTTTAACGTGCACCCAAATCTGAGCACACGGGCCTACAACATTTCCGCCTCCATCAGAAATGCAGCCGCCGCAGCCAGATTTGATCCCGCTACCTGCGGGTCAGCAGCCGAGTACATTAACCACCTAGACGAACCGTAGTGGGGCGCTTTCCCTGTTTTTTTGTGGAATACAAGTTGCATGTCGCACAACACACACCCGGCCATTATCTCTTCGTCAATGAAGCAACGCGGTTTATCATCGCAAAACGCACCGTGAAGCAGGAATTCAGATTAAGTTTTGATTAGCCCTAGTATGTTGAAAGTGCGCCACAATGCAAGCGCATGGGTGACGGACGTCTCACGCCAACATCACAAAATTCTCCACCACTTGAATCGAGGATCGAATGCATGACCATTTGTGCACCGGCACTTATGCCTCCGCTGCTGTTTGTCCTGTGTATCTGTGTCACGAGTAAGTGAAGTCGAATGAGAGATGACTTCGCAATAATGTTTTAATGGCGTGTAACTTTCATCGAAACGCTTGAGTGATGATTTGATGATAGCTTTCAACGCGTGAGTAGTGATTTCAGATGGTTTCAAAGAAGCCGTAGTTAGACAGCCAAGTCATGCTTTTAGTATTCGGCAGATAACAGCCTGTTCAGTAAACACCGCAAAGATTATGAGACGTAGTACGATGCCCTTGTTACTTGTTCCGTGAAGGCGGTTGCAAAGATCCCTAAGAAATGCGTGGCGAAGAACGCAATGCTGTTGGTGAATGAATATTGATTTATTGATTTGTGGGGTTTAACGTCCCAAAACCACCATATGATTATGAGAGACGCCGTTGTGGAGGGCTCCGGAAATTTTGACAACCTGGGGTTCTTTAACGTGCACCCAAGTCTGAGCACACATGGTGAATGAATATTTAGCTGTTCCATTAAACGTATAATTTTTTTCGTTGAATAAGCAGAAGAGGAATTTAGTATATGTACTTGTTTGTATTACAGGGTAGAAAAAGTTACATACCATGAGAGGCGTACAGAGAACTGACAAAGTTTCAGAGAGAGAAAGAGAGAGAAAAAGAAAAGCCAGGCCTGCGCGAGAGGCTCAGCACAGTCACAGCAAAAACAAGAAGAGGTGTCTTTCAGAGGCTTTTCTAAGCAGTCTTCGAGTAAATGCTACAAGCACACTTGCTGGGTACCCACTACGCCTTTATAATCATAATGTATGCATAGTAGGCCACCATTATATTAGGCTACCCTTCGCCACTTTTCAGAGAAGCGTGGTATTCGCTAAACACATGCAACTAATTTTGTGTTCCATTTAGCGGCTAACGACGATGAAGAATTACGCCTGAAGTGAATATTTAAGTATCCTGCCGCCCGGTTCTTGGCCCATCCCCCTCTGTGGGTGAGCGTCATCCATCTGAGGTCATCAGCATCAGAATCAGCATGTGCCACAGTTATCTAGGTGATGAAGAACAAGCTTTTGTAATAAGTTGGAGAATCGTACGATCCACTCGTTACGCGATTCGCATTGTGTGATGCCTGATTTCTTTGCTGTTCTAAAACACGTTATTACTCATATTAACACGATTCCTTTCCCGACACCAAGCCTGCCTAAGGGAAGCTTGCGAACGAATCCCAAGCACCGGCATGGCTCAGTGGCAGAGTACTGGGCTGGCACGCAGTGTACCCGGGCTCTAATCTCAGTATGTCACCAAATGTCCTTAGGGTTTCTTATTTGGTGGCAATTTCAGGTATTGTCATTCGCTCTTAATGTCATTTGTTCGCTGTGATTTTGTGTGATAGTGGTTACGGACACCGGCGGCGGCGGCCAACTACGGCGCTGACGACCCGTGTTGCGATAACAGCTTTCGCTGCAAAAAAAAAAAAGCTGATTATTACTGCTGCATCGGTAAGCAGCAGCCTTGAGTTCAGATGTTCATCCTTTTGTAAAGTGCACTCATAGCATTATGGAGCAGTTAGGCCGCACACATTCGCAAATTTCTAAAAAAATCACTTTTCCCGAATCGTATACCAGTGTCACACGTTGAATCTGACGCCATTTACAGCGAGTGTCATTTGTTCTCGATGTAGTTCGTTTGGTGGGACTCGGGAAAACTAATGCCATTTTATTAAAACGACATAATCTTTCTGATGAGTTCGCGAAGCACATTCGCACTCAATTTTGCGTAGTCTGGATGCCAGGAACTTTTTAAAGAGAATTATTGATTGACTTGTGGGGCTTTAACGTATCAAAATCACCATATGATTATGAATGACGCCGTGTGGAGGACTCTGGAAATTTCGACCACCTGGGGTTCTTTAACGTGCACCCAAACCCGTTAAAGAGATGGTTATTGACTAGCACACAAGTAACTTATACTTCATGCGCTTACATTTTTTATGCTAGAATAATTAAATTATTGATTTGACGACGTTTGCAATAAATTTTGAAATTTATGCGCGATAGATTCTGAAAGAATTCTGATCTGAAGTTCTGAACTACAGCGGCTGAAACGGTGGCCGAACGCCGGCTTTGTTTCAGTTGTGCTCAGTTGTCGTCATTGCCTATATCGCGGGTGTTGATGATGTGATTTCACGTGTAATGGGGTAAAAATGTTAACTAAATGAATTAGCACCCACCATCTCCTTTCTGGAAAAAGGTAGGTGTAACCTCAAGAGACAAGAAGAGAACAGTGTGGACTAGGGAACAAACTGGGGTTGAGGATATCATAGTTAAAATCAAGAAGAGGAAATGGGCATAGGCGGGGCATGTAGCGCGTAGATAGGATAACCGCTGGTCATCCAGGGTAACTGACTGGATTCCCAGAGGAGGCAAGCGGTTTAGAAGGAGACAGAAGGCTAGGTGGGCAAATGAGATTCAGATGTTTGCAGGTATAAATTGGCAGCAGCAAGCACAGGACCGACTTGACTGGGGGAACATGGCAGAGGCCATTGTCCTGCAGTGGACGTAGTCAGGATGATGATGATGATGATGATGATGATGATCTTTTTTTGTAGCCGTTGTGTCAGCCATGCACCAACTCTCCACGATTTATTTTGGATTTAATTGGCTCCTTGCTTGATCTCACTTAGGTCGAGCAGCTACGTCAACTCATGCAAAACAACTGCGTTTATAATCTTAGAGCAGCTTTTTAGTGGTGAAAGTTTATTTTCGATACTAGAATCATGTTACAAGCAATGTTTGATAGATTCTCATTTCTCCCCGAGTCACGGCTCCCGAACGCTAAGGTTTTGGTCATCCTTCTAAAATGATGTGTGTTTTCGTTCTTTGGCAGCAGGCAGGCGAAATGACCTTCTGTTCAGCTATTGTTATTCGCTGTGAATGATGATAGATTGGCAGTGTGAGAGAGGCCCTAGTCGTGCCTAGATTTGGGCACCGAATATACGGCTACTGGCCACCTACCTCTGTACCGTTAGGAGCCTTCCACCAACTAGCTAATTTACAGAAGCACCAATCACCAAATGCATTGTTTTCCCCTTTCACTATATGAGGACTGTCACGGTGACGTATTTCAACGATTTACAATGCAGGGAGAAAAACTTACGGTGCTTTAAAAGGAGCACCTATGACGCTTTTTCAGCATGAAAATAAAAGGCTTGCGATTGGTACACGAAGCTCCCAAGCGCAGGCGAGACGACTATCACTAAGCACGTAACGTTATGTTTAAAATTATTTTAAAGTTTATTTCGGAATTGTTCCCTCTTATCTCTACAAATGATGGTATTGACAAAATTGACCGCGCCACAGCTTCGTAGTCCACAGCCATTAGCTAATTTGAGCGTCGTGAGATGCATTGTTATCGAGGCCACCATAAGATCCCAGCACGTGCTGAATGCTCACTTGTGATCATAATTAAAGCAAGCCGTGCACTAAGAAAAACAAAAAAAGAAACAAAAGCAAGAAACAAAAAAGAGAGTGCTCGCGTTTACGATGGGCACCTCCTTTCTACTCCGGTCATTTCTGCTCTGCGTAGATTTCAGTGCTCTGGCAAATACGTCAGGGTAGAGAATGTGCTAGGAACGTGCGACGAATTCCCGTGACACCACCTTACTCGACAGAAACTGAAATATTTTGTGACAGTCTATTTGTGAGGCTATATCCTTTTTTGATGGAGTCATTACATTATTGTTCACAAAGATGTCGCGAGACCCCTTGAAATCGTAATATTGACTTTGAAAGTTACGATTTTACAAGCTCGGTGCAACAGCTAGGAAAAAAAAGTAATCAGACCACAGTGGCTGTTCTCAGAAGCTGCGGTTCTCGCCTTTTTATGAAACCTAAAAAAGCATGGTAATCACTTGCATACCAAGTAACAAGAACGGTTCAGTTTAGTGTTCGCGTTAGTAGTGGAAGGTTAAACTAGAGGCGCCGACTGAATGCGTACCATAAAACGACAGCTGTACTCTACAAATTGGAAGTGGTTACTGTAGTTATGCTCCACGCTGCAAGAAATAGAAAGACGAAACGACATTGCTGTAGAGATCTTGAAGCCTTAACTAGTGGTCTGCGCACTCTAGCGACAGTATTGAAACTCGCTGAAGACAAGGAGAAGAAGAAGACAAGGGGCACGAAAAAGCGCGCGCTCGCATATCTCTCTGCGGTGTTCCCGTAAGTATCAGGGCTTGAGCAACTGTCGCTGAACGCACGACGTGAGCGTGCAACTACTCTGTAACCTTTTCGCTTCGTGGGAGGGTGCCTCATTCTCGAGAACCGAGTGCCGCAATACCATCGATCGCCATTGAAATGGGACCTCCATCCGTAGGCAGCAACCTGGCGGCCGTCTTGGTGCGCGATCTGAGGCTCTGCTACAGCCGCAACTCGCCGCCTGTCATCGACGGGGCCAATATGACCATCCTCAAGGGAGCCATTTACGGCTTGTTGGGTGCCAGTGGCTGCGGCAAGACGTCACTCCTCAAGTGCCTGGTCGGTCTGTGCAAGCCGGACTCGGGCAAGGTGCTCATTTTCGGTCAGCAAGCTGCACCGAGGACTGGTGCCTGGTCCGGGCGTCGGATTCATGCCACAGGAGCTAGCGCTTCACTCTGACTTCACAATAGCCGAGAACATGTACTTCTTCGGCCAGCTGCTCGGTATGCCCTTGGAGAAGATCTATGAGCGGATCAGCTTCCTCTGCTCTTTCTTCCAGCTGTTGCCCGCCAACAGATTTGTCGAGCACCTCAGCGGCGGCCAGCAGCGGCGCGTGTCCCTGGCTGTGGCACTGATGCACCAGCCTCCATTCCTCATCCTGGACGAGCCCACCGTGGGTCTGGACCCGGTGCTGCGCGAGGCCATCTGGCGCTACTTCCTAGTGCTATCTAAGGTGGACGGCGTGACCCTGCTCGTCACCACGCATTTCATCGAGGAAATCGCCGAGGCTGCCACGGTGGGTGTGATGAAGAATGGCAAAATTTGGTGTGAGCGGCCGCCGGACGAACTCATGCAGACGTATGGCACGGCTACCCTGGCTGAGTCCTACCTAAAGGTGTGCCAGGCACTGGACTTTCCTCCGGCGCCCACTGAAAAACAGGCGCTGACGAACGCTGAAAAGAAGGTCAAGGAGACGCGGCCAGTGCTCGAGAAGCCGAACTCGACGAGGCGCCCTCGGCTGGCCCCTGCGTCACCCGTGAAGCCGTGTCCTATACCGGAATCACTGCTCACGTGGACCAACTGGGGACCAGTGCGAAGCTGCCTTCGTGTGAGGGCGCTGGTAGTCAAGAACTTGCTCAAGATCATGCGCAAGGTTATCACGGTGTTGTTCCAGCTGGTGGTGCCGTCTTTTGTGGGCGTCGTGTTCTGCCTGTTCGTGGGAGGCAAGCCTTCCTATCTACCGGTGGGTGTGGTCAACGAAGACAAGAACGGCTCATTCAGCAAAGCCTTCCTCGCCGAGATCTCCAATGAGACCGTAACGCAGAAGCCGTTTCCGGATATCCGCCAGGCCTTTGATGCGGTGCTTGGTGAAGAGGCCTGGGGCACCATCCACATACCACCAAACTACACGAAGGAGTTGAACTTCAGGGTGCACTCAAAATCGCTCAGGGGATACACCAAGGGGTTCTTGGTCAACTTCTTCCTGGACGCGACCGATTACACCATCCGGAACACGTTGCAGTTAGAGATCTTGGAAGCACACACCAGGTATCTGAAGGTGCTCTCCCACAACTTGACCAGCCTGAATTTCTCCCTTCAAACAATACGGTTTACGGATCCTTTCTACCAGGCCTTCGACTTCACCTTCCGGGAGTTCATGAGCCCTGGCCTCATAGTCGCTACGCTCTTTGCCTTGTCCATGTCTCTGACGGCGCTGTTGCTCGTAGCCGAGAACCAGGAAGGAATCCGTGGACGATCCATCGTAGCCGGCGTGACACCGGTGGAGGTGATCACAAGCCATGCGGTGGTTCAGATGTCCATGGCGTACATGCAGACGGTACTCATGCTCGTGGTGTTCGTCAGCGTCTTCGACACTCCTGTGCGCGGAAGCCTTTGCGCGGCCTTCTTATACCAGTGCTGATGGCACTCTGCGGCATGAACTTCGGGTTTTTGACTTCGTCGATATCTAAGGACGAGGCGACGGCCCTGCTGCTCTCGATGGCCGCCCTCTATCCAGCACTTCTCATGGGAGGTGTGCTATGGCCCGTCGAAGGCGCCCCGGAGGTACTGCGTCCCTTCAGCTGGGCCGTACCGCAGGCCCTTCCGGCACATGCTATGCGCGGCGTCATGCTGAGGAACTATACGTACGACAACGTGCATGTTGTGCGGGCTGCGGGAGTGACGGCCGGCTGGACGCTGGCCTTCATGGCTTTCGCCATGATCATGTACTCGCTTTCAAAGTGAATACATTATATCAGAATTTGAAATAAAATATATAAGAAAGATTCTTGCTGTTTGTTCTCATCAAACGCAGTCCACGCTTGCTTCGTCTCTGTTTCTGCGACATGGTGCCGTGACTAAGATAGCGGCTTCTCCTCTTCTCACTGGCCACGGAATACCAGGACGAAAGACAGGCCACACAGGACGGACGACGAGGAGGCCCAGTGCGAACCGACGGCAGCGAGACAGGACATCGCAATCTGAGAGAGCGGCACAGACACGGAAGACGACACAGCCACGGGTGAAGATTCGCCGCTGAAATCTGTGAGCGACCAGCCGTTTTCTCAATTATTCAAAATGAACAGGGAAGTAATTTCGAAGAAAAGAAAAACGCCGAGGACGCAAATAACCCACCTAGTAATAGAAGCAGAAAATAAGCTTCATGAGAATGAAGACCCTATGGCAATATCACTGATAGCCAGCCAGATTAGAGGCATTGCCGACATGTTAAATACAGTTAACGAACAAATGAAACACTTCATAACGCCGGAAACAGCCGATGTTGAGTTTGCGAGGACCACTGAGTACAAGCTAAGGACGATTAGCATTCTGCATAACATGAATGCCTACCTTTGTCGACAAGAACGGCGCGAGCCAGTGAGGTTACAGGTCCCTTCAAATGACAATGCGAGGCAAGCGCCGCAAGCAAATCCAGTAAAGCTACCAAAGGTAGAATTAATGAAGTTCGATGGCGACATGAGGAAGTGGCAGAGATTCTGACATCAGTTTGAATCGGCTGTTCACGTGAAGAACAGAATTAAACGAGAATCAAAAGTTCACGAACCTTCTGTCATCACTAACCGGATTGAGCGGCAGCTGTCGTGGAGGTACTTCAATATTCGGACAGTAATTATGTGAAAGCTATCGACATGCTCAAGCACCGATACCGGAAAGACTAAGCGCTTAAAGAAATGTGCATGAAAGAGCTAACTTGAGTACAGTAGCAAGCTGCAGTGACTATGAATGATTGAGGAGACTGTCAGACAAGGTACAAGTGCATACGCGTGGGCTGGAATCCTTAAGTGTGAAAAGCGAGTAATATGCATCGCTGCTACTACCAGTATTTAAAAGATCTTTACCTGCGGAGATGCACATGGGGTTCCAACCGAAACAAAGAAAATCGGCCGGCAGGTCTTCAGATAAATATTAGAATGCAACTAAACATCATGGAGAAACTCTGAAGCGCTTGATGAGATATATAGAAGACCAAGTTGAGTGCAGAGAGGAATTGGTAGAGTGCAAGGTAAGCCACGGCAACAAATTTGACAGTAGGCAACATAAAAGAACGGTAATGATGATGGTGATGGTGATGATGATGACCTCTGATGGATGGCGCTCACCCACAGAGGGGGATGAGCTATGAACCGGGTGGCAGGTTACTTAATTGAAACTAAAACAAAAAAGCCAATCTGAAAAGTAGTTTAGAAATAATACTACCAATAAATAAAAATGTTTGCTGAGGAAGAGGTCAAACCATCTCTTGTTTTTGGCAGATGTAGCTACGAATTATAACCTAAAGGTTTGAAAAGGTTAGGGTTCACTAGCTTGGTAATCTTTTAGTTGCGTTGATGTAATCTAACACAGTGGAGCATATATGCCTGTGGCAGTAACCAAATGAAGTTCCGCCAAGTGATAAATTAATGGTAGATTTACTTGAATTCCTAGCTTTTGTAATGGGGCTGCTAAAATATTTTTCTCTGATAAGAATAACGATGACAGAATAAAAAGAAATGTTCAATTGTTTCTATTTAGTTGCACCAAATGCATAGCGGTGACGCCTTGAGTCGAGCTTTGTTAAAGTAATAATTTAGTTGTGGAACTGCACAGCGCAATCTGGTATAAGTGACCTCTAACTGGCGAGATACACACCACTGTTTATTGCAGCAATACCTCAAATGCTCGAAATCTTTGAATTTATCCAAATTACCTTTTCCCCTTTGCAGACAAGCATTTCGGAACCTTAGCGCTGTCACGTAAGCCGTATCTGGCAAAACTGGGATGGTGGGCCCACTCAGGGATACTGCTGCTAAAGAGTCCGCCATTTCGTTCAAATATAATCCGTGGTGGCCGGGTGCCCATAGTAAATGCAGTTTTTTTTTACGTTTTTCGGTACTAAATGCCGAAACGTATTCATCAGCTCTGCATTTACTGCCGCAGAATGTGCATTACATACTGATAACGAATCTGTAATGATAACTGCTAATGATTCGCTTGAGGGCAATTTGCGTAGGACAAGAACAATAGCCAGTAATTCTGCAATGAATACAGGGGTATAATCTGGGAGTCGAATCGAAAAGGACCAGTCAAAAGAAGGAGAGAAGGTGCCAACCCCAGCCTTTTCTTTTGACACAGATGCATCAGTCGCAATGATATTGCTTATCTCTAGGTGAGCTAGATAATATGCTAACTGGTCATTTAGGTACCTATGTGCCAATTGTTTCGCGTTATGAGGAAATATATCATCAAATTGTATGCTAAGCATTGACTTTAGATTGTGTATTGGACCAATATGTTTAATTTTTACATTCAGTTGCTGTAGTAGCGCTTGTGCAAATATTATTTGCGGGTGTGTAGTCGCGACCAATGTGTTTCGAAAAATAAAGCCGGTTCTTGAATGAAAGCGTAAAATGAGAGTCTTTGGTGTGAACTGTATATATTTAAGAATGCTTGCACAGTAAGAATTTTAAACCTATTTAGCAGAGAAGGTAGGCGAGCTTCCATATACAACACGTTATTTGCAACAAATTTTGGTAGACCCAGACACAAACGCAACGCTTCTCTTTCCAGCAGTATTAGGGGTCTCATTTTATAAGCTGCATTGCCAGAAAATGATACACATCCGAATTCCATAATGGGCCGCACATAAAGTTTATATATCATTATTAGCACATCTCTTCTTAAACCCGCTTTTTTCCGAGCTTCCGTAGCCACCCCATGGCCCTTGTTGCCTTGGAGTACACATCATCAATGTGACTTCTCCAATTTATTGCGTCATTATATAGGATGCCCAAATATATAACGGTTAATTTTCAAGGCACCATGACAAAGTTTGGCATTTTTTGTGAGACTAATACCCACTATTCTGATGACTGCAGAAAGAATATGGCATATGAAGAGAAGAAAATGAAGCTAAAAGCGTCTCAAAGATGCTACCGTTGCACGAGGCCCCGACATACTGCCAAAATATGCAAGGCAAGCATAAGATGCAAGATATGCGGGAAGAGGCACGTAACGTCTATGTGCCGGGGAAAAGAACTCACAGCGCAGGGCACAGCAACCATTCAAGGTAAAAATAAAAATCAGGAAGAACAAGGGTCAATCCGCCAATGTACGAATATATTGTCGAGCATTTTTCTGTAGACTGCAATGGAAATAGCAGAAGGTAGAAACAAGTCGTGCTATTGTCGGGTTCTGTCTGGACACTGGTAGCCAAAGAACATGCATCTTTAAGAGCTTGTCAAAGAAGCCTGGTTGCACGGTCAACAGAAAAGAAAGACTGACCATAGGCTCTTTCGGAGAAGGACAAGAGGAAAAGACTATGCATTCAGTTGAAGTCAAACTTAGAAGCGCATATAGTGGCGAAGAGGTTTTGTTGGAAGCACTCGAGGTTGACGTTGTATCAAAAGAAAGAATACCGCTCTTGCCAGTTTCACTGAAGGAGAAGTATGAAGACGACGGATTAAAGTTGGCTGACGGTTTATGTACAAGCATAAACTGCAGAGAAATCAGAATCCTTGTTAAATCAGACCAGTACTGGCAAATAATGACCGGAGGCATCCGAAAACTGGAAGAGAAGCTGACAGCAACAGAGACCATATTCGGTTGTACGGTGCAGGGTAAATCTAAGTTAGCGGCAACGTTAGTGAAACGGTCAACCGTTATGGTACTTCACGATAAAGTGGACAAGTCCGACATAGAGACCGAAGCTAAGGCATTTCTGGGACATAGAAACCATCGGTATAAAGGGCACTGAGCAAGACGCAATGAAAGAAGAGAGTGTGATGGAGTATTTTAGCAAGAACCTAAAGTGTGAAGAGGAAAGATACTCAGTACGACTTCCATGGAAAGATACCGTGGAGCTTGTTGAAACAAGGGTGCCGCAATGACCAGATTGAAGCAACTCACTCGAAGGTTACGGAAAGACGAAAGTGTATTGCGATGTTACGAGAATGCCATCAGAGAGTACTTGACTAGTGGAGTGGCAGAAGTGGCCGAGGAAAAGGGCACCGATGACACACTGCTACTACATGCCTAATCAAGCCGTCATCAAGGAAGATTGTCAAACAACAAAGATAAGAATAGTATTTGATCTGTCATCATCAGTCCACAAAGAGTCATCTCTAAATGATAACTTCGAAACAGGACCAAATGTCAATTGTGATCTCGTGCACATGCTGATGATCTTCCGACACCATCGCATTGAAATGACAGCTAATATTGGGAAGGCATTCTTACAGATTTCAGTAATCGAGGAAGACAGATACGCGCTGCAGTTTCCTTTGGTGGGATAGAATTCAGAGTGGAAGCGATGCGGAGATCGTAACATGGAAAATGTCAAAAGTGACGTTTGGCTCAGCCTCCAGTATTTCTTCCTCGCATCAACAGTACAGCACCACCTGAGCAAGTTGGACGAGAAATTTCCGGAGACGATTAAACAAAACAGCTGAGGAGAAACATCTATCTCGATGACATAATAATGGAAGCCGAATCACCCATGGAAGCCGAAAAAGTTTACTTGAAATCGAAGGAGATTTCTCAAGAGGCGTCAATGACTCTCCAATGTTCAACACAAATGAGCCTGGATTACAACAAAACATAAAGAAAGAGGAAAACGCAAGCTTCGGGGCTTCTACCGATATAAAGGTACTTGGCATCAGATGGAACTTCAAGGAAAGTAGGCTGTACCTACCATCGTTTGACATAAAAAAAACATCAATACCAGGGGTGCGCTAATGAAGAGCCAA